GGGGCACCTACTATCACATGTGGTGGAGTTGCCCATTAGTGCAAGAGTTTTGGAAAAACGTTGGCACACTAGTCTCCCAAATCTTACACAAACAACCAGACGTGGGTCCATGGGTGTTCTTATTCTCTAGACCAAGCTTCCCCATACTCCGGCCCCCCAGATGTTGCTGAGCTACAACTCCCATGATTCTCAGCCTATCTATATCATTGAAAGAATCATGGGAGTTGTAGTTCAGCAACATCTGGAGGGCCAGAGTTTGGGGAAGCCTGCTCTAGACCAATAGATGGATGGACTAAAGCAGAACAAGCACTACTTCACAAAATTACACTGGCAGGATGACGAGCTTTAGCTCAAACTTGGCTTCGACCCACGTTACCCCCAATAGATACAGTACTTCTCAAACTGATGGATAATTATCACATGGATAAATTGACAGCGCAATTTATCCAAAGGCCTTCAACAAGACTTGGGAGCCCTGGGAGGAATACACTGATACAGACTAACAGAGCGGGCGCCCCAGTCTTAAGGGTACTGGGGCGCTCTGGGGTGTATTTCCCCAATATCAGTTGCCTTCTTCTCGCCCTCTAGCTCCCCTCAACCTCCTATGCTGCTCGTCCTACCCACCCGCCATTTCCTCTTTTCTCTCTTTCTCTTGTATTCTGTCTCATTCTGTCCCCCCCTTGGAGGAACCTTTTACGCAAGACACACCCTTAGAGAGTGGACACATACACATCCTAGCAATAACCGACACGTTGACAGTCTCAGAGATACCTAACTCAGTGATCTCTAGTGTACTGCCTACTCTTCCTCACCGATTTAGGCGATACATTCTAGTGCATACGAGTAAGCGTATATAACACTGATTTCTTAATCATCTTTTAATGCTAACTGCAGAGCCATGTTAAGATAACGAGAGTCCAAACCAGTCTACTTCCAATAGAACAGTAGCAGCTCTGAGCACCGTCATGTAATCAGGAGATGTTGAGCTCACAGTGTGCTTTTCTATAGACCACCCACTGAGGCCTAACTCGAAAATAGGAATGCTTATTTAAAAAAAAAAAAAAGGATACGTGAGATTGGGGGCGAAGGGATGGTATCGCAGCACTGCGATACAAGGAGCTTGTTGCCTGCGTGCAACACATGTCCACTGTGCAATGTATTATATGGACACGTTGTATTTCTTATACGCCTGTTGTACAAAAGTGTATTTCTGATATATGTCTCTTCACCTGAATGCCTATTCACAAATAAAGATTTTTTTTTTTTTTTTTAAGGTAAAAACAATTACAGCCAATATGGAAAATAACAGAGCGATTGAGTAAATATGTTGCACTAGGTTCTTAATATGTTTTATCTCAAAATGGTAAGGTCTACATTTCCCGCATGTCCCAGATTGCAAAGATTTCCTGGTTATTTTATTCAGTGACCTTAGTTTACCTTAGTTTATGGGCAATTGTCCAAAACTTTAAACTTGTTTGTTATAAACTATTATGGAAGAGGATACCTACTAGTGTCTTATAATGTGAATAGATGGACTCTCAGGAGAGGGGAATACTATACTCTCATCACTTGCTCAAAACAAAACAAAACATGATATACACATTGTGATAGACCGTTTACATTGATGACTTAGAAATGTGGTATGTCTAGGTCAGTTATTGTATATTTCAGTATTTTCATTCATTAGTAAACCAAAAAAGCTAAAAATTCTCTTGGTCTCCAATATTAGTATTATTATTATTTGTAAAGTACCAACAGACTCCACAGAATTTGCAGCAGAACATGTTTAACAAATATGAAGTGGTAAGGCCCCCTTCATCGAGGAGCCAACAATCTACAGGAAGTGAGATATTATTACGCTACTATATTGTTTTTTAAAGAAATTATTAAAGTTTTATGGATAGTTGAGGAGAAGAAAATGGGATTTTGTAAGAACTGTGCATCCCAAAAGAATTCTTGAAGGGGAAAGTTGAATGTGCAAGTGCGAGCAAAGAACAGGCGTAGGCCATTGGCAAAACAGAGTGACATGCTTGCTCATAACTATTTTGTGACACATTTGTAGCAGGTTTTGTAGGTATAATTATTTTCTATGCATTTTTGAATGTTTTTGATCAATTCTGGGTGGAACGAGTGTTGGTTTGTGGACTATTGACGTTTAACTATTTAATTGCAAGCACATGATTTATAATTTTTGTAACTTTGTATTTTTTCAGCTTATACATATTTCTATAAAGGAAAAGAGTACTGGAAATTTGATAATCAAAAACTGAATGTGGAACTAGGTTACCCAAGGTCGATCGTTAAAGATTGGATGGGCTGCAACTTGAAAGACCTTGAAAGTGGTAAAGACCGGCATCTTCCGCATGACGACGTGGATATTATGGTTACAATAAATGATGTGCCCAGCACCGTAAACGCTATAGCAGTGGTAATTCCATGTATATTGTCATTGTGCATACTTGTCTTGGTATATACTATTTTCCAATTTAAAAACAAAGGGGTACAGCAAAATGTTACTTACTACAGACGCCCAGTACAGGAATGGGTATGACAAGATATGGAACGTTTTTTTGATTTTGCATTTTAGTTTCAACGAGGGCTAAAAGGATACTTGGATCATAAGTCCATCTGTCGAACTTTGTAACAGACAGGAATTACTGAAGATCCTGGTGTTTACCAGTAAAGAAAGACAATAAGGAATTCAGAGATGGCCTTACACAATGGAGCCTCTTAACATTTTTCCTGCCTCATATTCGTATCTTTTCTTAGTGTGCCATTTTTCAGGTCCACTTCGTGAGTGCCAGGTTCTTTACTTGGAATTTATTCACACAAAAAAAAAAAAAAGAACAATACACAACAGGATGTATCTGACTGAGAACACATCTTCAAACCAGCTTTCTCCATGAAAAGTCAGATACTTCCAAATAAACTTCTTTCTATAGATTTGAAAAGAAACAGTTCAAGGATGAGTTTCTCTGATACGGCAAAAGGATCGTCACTGCAAAATGTCTTTTAAGTGACAAGCCATTCTGAGGAACTTGTGTTTTTAAATGCACAAAAAAAAAAGAACTCACCATTTTTCAAGCCCTGCTGGTCAGAAATATTACACACAATGGTTGTTAAATATAGATTATTGAATTTGAAAAAAAAAAACTACTAAGTAATAATTGTAAACATTTCAGAATCTGTCTTTCTTGCAGGTTGATATCTCATTATAAAAGAAGAAATGGAGGATAGAATTTCTAATTCATATTCATCCACAATGATCACTGGTTAATGTTATATTCCTGTAGAAGCCTACAAGAAAGTGAAATAAAACACAAATATTACAATAAAACCATGAATTTGTTGATTCTGACAAATTAAGGCATTTTCTCCTATTTTTAGTCTGACTAGTTCAACTCTCTCGTCGATATTGATAATAATGAAAACTTGAGTTACTTGCTAGAAACTGTAACAGTAACTTTTTTTATGCCTTGAGAAAAATGCTAGTTCTCATAAAGGTTTTGAATAACTGCCTTCTAACTTAGTTTGACCATTTTCTAACAAATGTTATAATATACCTATTATATATACGTATAATATTCTTTGCAATATATTTTAATTCTAAAGTGTGCGGAATAACATGTGGAATTAACACTGATCGTCCAGGATTGAGAGATTACCCAATTATTTTTCAAGAGTGTTGACAATTAATACAGATTAATGAAACACTGGTGGTAATCAATGTGTTGGACAATTTTCAGGACCAATTGAAATAGTTCAATCTTCCTAGTGGAGATAGGATGGTGGACAAGCAGTTGGTGTTGGTGTCTGGTACTCTTAGACAGTAGAGACAAAATTGTATTGTGGGCAGATATTGGAACTTAATAAAATATAGAGTAAGTGTGTAAAACAAAATAACACATTTGGAACTTCTTTCAAGTGCTTAGTCTGTGAAGTTGTCTATTATGTAGTCATGAGGTGCGTAAAAGGCATTGTTCCAATAGCCCAGTGAGAGGAAATATAAGGTTTGGTATTTGAATAAAACAGTAAACAATCGGTCTTGATTTAGATTATAATAGATCATATTAATTTTACTTTATGAAAAGTGTTGCTTTTTTATGAATATCAGCCTAATATAGGTTACAAATGCATTTCTTAGTTCCTGGGGTTCCATCAAACCACAGTCAGAGCCATCCCATTCAAATTGAGAATGGTTGGAACAGTTGTGAATCTCCACAGGAGGTGGTCTTCTACCAAAATGTCTCCAAGAAAAATATGTTAAACTATTGAGGAAGTAAAAAAATAGAACATTTAGGAATTAGCAGGCATACGAAGGATTCATGGCACAGTAGCAAGACAGGAACCACTAATCGCAAAGAAGAAAATGCAAAAAGCATCAGAAAATAGCACTCAGAGTATCCTCAAAAGTTCTAAGTATGAACAGTTGGGTCTAATGTCTGTAAAAACCAACCAACAATACGAACCTCATTCTAGCTGTTGAGCATGGTGAAGATAGCCTCAGTTGTGTTTATTTTATATACACAACTTGCCATCATTAAAGGAACAATGAACCCTGCTTTCTATCACGCAATTCTACGTCAGAATGCTAAACCGTCTGTCCGTGAGATGGTGTACAGCAGGATCACGCAGGAAAGCAATGCCTGAAGTCTACATGAAAAATGTTAAAGAACACGAAATGCAACGTTTTCACGAAAGTCCCTTTAAGATGCTTGGTATAACCCAAAGCAAGCAATTCATACTAAAAAAATAACAAACATAAAAGCATAAATGTCTCTGTGCTAAAGCAGGTAGGAATGGAGGGATGGGGCAAAAATTCCTCCGCACCACTGTGAGAGCCTAACCAGTATTTATAGGGAATTTTTGTTTGCTTTGAGAAAAGAGAGCATTATTCTTCGTTTTTTTTACATCTAGTTGTTGATTGATATTTCACACCGAGGCATAAAATAATAAGTATCAAAATTCTCAGTTGTTTGATTTTTATTAAAACTTAAAAATCTTAAAGGATTTTTCCAGGTGCACTAGTAAAGTAAGTTAACCAGGTATAATATCCCTAAAGGTAAGAATGCACAGCTACACGCGTAGTGCATAAAGGAACACTATAGGGTCGGGAACACAAACATGTATTCCTGACCCTATCGTGCTAAACCCACTATTTAGGTGGCTTGCCTCCCCTATAAAAGTTTAAAACTCACCTTATTTCCAGTGCCGCCCAGATCCGCCGGCCCTGGCTCAGCCCCCTTTGTGACATCATCAAAATGGCCGATTTTTAGCCAATCCCATTGGGAAAGCATTGGATTGGCTAAAATTGGCAAGGGGGCAGGGCCAAATACCGTTTTGGCCAATCAGAACCTCCTCGTAGAGATGCATTGAATCAGTGCATCTCAATGAGGAAAGTTCAGCATCTCCATGCAGAGTGTAGGGATGCTGAACGGCAGGGCTGCTTACTGTGCAGCCCTGAGCCAGGAAGCCCCTCCAGTGGCCATCTAAGGAGTGGCCACTTGGAGGTGTCCCTAGTGGCAATGTAAACACTGCGTTTTCTATGAAAAGGCAGTGTTTACATGAAAATGCCTGAAGGGAGCTATTATACTCACCAGAACAACTACATTAAGCTGTAGTTGTTCTGGTGACTATAGTGTCCCTTTAATGATTAGCAGGTGTCATAATTTACTATTCATATGTTCACATAAATAATGTGAACGTATGTTTTTGTAAACATTTGTTTAATTTTCAGATATATCTGGCCAATATTTAAACATTTGTTTAATTTTCAGATACATATGCCCAATATATTTTACTGTATACGTTATACTTTGGGACATGTTAAGGGTTTGCTGGGTTTATGACTACTGGCAATGTAACAGAACAGCACATGTATCTCTTTGCATTCAATGCCTCAAACAAACTAAAATGGTGGTAAGAATGTTGTGTGCTAATAATTTGTTCTGAGGACATCAAACCTACATTGTTTTACAGACAGTGACGTCAATATATATGTGTATTTATAATAAGTTGTGAAAGGAGAGCAGTTCAGGGGCAAAAATTGGCACATCAATCTATAGCAATCTATAGGTTATTTGCCAATTTTCTAAATGCGGAGATTCAATAGGTAGTAGCCTTATTTTATTCTACATTATTTTAAGGAATATAGGCAAAGTTCACTTTTTTAAATATTTCTGCTGATCCAAATTTACTTAAGGACCATAACATTTTCTAGCTAATTTGAAATTATTGGTATGCTCGTGAAATGTCAATGTGTAAATCTCTAAATATTAAATGCTGCATCCTGGGCCACCACAGCATGTTTAAGCTATGTGTTCTAATAACCTTCAAATTATTCCATATAAAAATTGTGAATTAGTTACAATAACTGGGCTAAACATACCTTTTGGCAAACAGACACTTAAACCTGAGAACATTGGTAGGTAAATGGTCGATGATCTTTCCTTTATCCAAGGAAGAGGGGGGGATTTCAAAATGGTGGAAGCTGATTCATAATGGCGGCTTCAATAGAAGGCATGGTGGTTCAGAATATGTATGTAAATAATTAGGCAGCAGTTGTGCAACAGTATTGACCTTAAACGTCCTTGACCTGGAAGGCTCCAGTTGTTTGTATCTTGATTACTAGAGGTCAGGTGAGGCCCCACCCAACTCATATCTTCTCCATCTTGACGTCCGTTATGATACAACAGAGTTTGGGCCAAAATGGAGAAAATATGAAACGTAAGCAGGCATGAGTGCATTATCTTGTACCATGGGTGCAGTGGTCCCCCTAGTGTCAGGAAGTAAGAAAATTATCCAGTGTATAAAAAATCATAAGACAGTTGCACACAAACTGAAAATGAAAATACATAGTATTGTCAGTCTACCAAAAAAACCAAAACATATATATATAGTGAGGACTTGCACGCCTGGTGTAATCCTGTGGTGCCCAGTGCTGGTCTGGCAACGATCATGTAGACATAGCAGAAATGACTGCACTCCAAGGACTTTGTAGCGATTTTCAAATAAAACTTAACTTTTATTCAATCCATTTAAAAAGTCAACGTTTCAGCTCCCACATGGAGCTTTCATCAGGACAAAAAAAATGTTTGTAGTGAGTAGCACCACCTCTAGGAAATTCTCATGAGCACATTAACCTTATTGGTTTGAAGAAAGTCAGTAGCAATTATTATAGATTAACAACTTGCTCATAATTTCAATCTGTACAATGCCCCAAAGTAGTCCTAGATTTTCATGTTTATGCCATGAGATACTAGTTTGCGATCATACCACTTTAAACACCATGGAATTGTCATAGTTAATCTATTCGATAAACAACCAGATCTTTAGCGAGAATGCTGTTTTTGATGATCAGTAGGGTAGCTTAAAGGAATACTATAACTTTAGAAATACAATTCTTTATTCCTAACGCTCAAGAGCCCTTGTCAAGATGGGTATATACACATAACCCACGATGCTCTATAAGGACCACTGGGGAACTGGTGCGCATACGTGATGAGCGTTTTCCTATGGGTTTCTGTGTCACGGGTTTTAATCCCTCAGTGCTTTGGAAGCACCTCTAATAGTTGTCAGGAAGACAGTCCCTAGAGATGGGTTTAACCCTGCAACGTAAACATTTCAGGTTCTAATAAACTGCAGTGTTTTACATTGTAGGATCAAAGGACTTGGCCACTTTACCCAGATCATTTCATTGAGATGACATGTCCCTTTAATAAAAAATAATAATTTGCAGCTGGGTTTCTGAGTAAATTCATGGTCATCTTCTGGAGTTGCAAAACAGGTATCATGAAACTGAATATCTACATCATATGTGCCTTAAAAAGGTAGATCCCTTGATGATTTGCAAGCCTTATGACTAACAAAACATTATGAGGATTGCAGTTTGACAAAAGCTTTGGAGTTACCTGTTAGCCTCCTCTGTTCTAGATATAACACACCTCTGCCAGTTTACTTTGTACATGTATTTAACTGTATATACTTTATCTTTTCCTTGTTATTAATATTTAAAAGAAACGCATGGTAATAAAACAATACAACAAATGACCTTTAAATTAAAAGTTCTATATGGTTATGAGTTTTAATGTTAACATGGAACATAAGTGTAACTGCTGTATGCTTCTTATTTATTTGATACATAGTTGAAAAGAGACATGCAACCATCAAGTTTACCTTTTCTTACATCTGTTTTCGCTGTTGATCCAAAAGAATGCAAAAATTCCAGTTTGAAGCGCTTTCCAAATTTGCAACAAACTAGGAAAACATTCTTTCTTGACCCCAGAATGTCAGTCAGATCTCTCCTTAGATCATGAAGATCACAAATGAAAAATTATATCCCTGAATATTATGTTTTTGCAAGTATTCATCCAGTTGCTGTTTATACATCAGTACAGACTCTGATAAAACCACTTCTTCAGGCTGAGAATTCCACATCCTTAATGTTCTTACTGTAAGAAATCCTTTCCTTTGCCTTAGACTAAATCTCCTTTCTTCCAGTCTAAATGCGTGTCCTATGTATAGTCCTGTTTATAATTAGATAAATTGACAATAGTCTATATTGGCCCCAAATATATTTGTAAAATGCTATCAGATCCCCTCTGAGGTGCCGTTTTTCGAAACTAAGCAGATTTAAATTTGTTAACCTTTCTACATAACTACAATGTTCCATTCCTTTTTATTAATTTTGTATCCCACCTCGGCACTTTTTCTACTGCCATAATATCCTTTAGAACAGGTGCCCAAAATTGCACAATATATTCAAGTTGTGGTATTACCAGTAATTTATAAAGAGTCAAAATCATCCGAGAATGAATGCCCCTTTTTATTCATAACAATACCTTACTGGCCTTAGCAACTACTGATTGACATTGCAAATTGTTGCCTAGTTTGTTGTCTATAACAATACCCAAATCATTCTTGTGTGTTGCTATCCTTAATTCATTACCGTTTAGGGTATAAGTTGCTTGTGCATTCTACCCAGTCATATTATAAAAGTTTAGAATGTATACATCATAGCCTCTAAGCAATCTTCTGTACATACCACACATCTATCCATAGTCCTTGAACATTGTACACAAGGCAAAAATTAATTGTTATTTTACTTCCACAAGCTTTGACACTTTATCAATTTGCCTTTTGAAACAATTGGTATTATTTGATAACGTTAAAACATGTTTTACACATTATACAATGGTAACTTTAATAAATTACTTTATTGAAATAAAGCAAATAAAATCTTTCAACGAGTCATTAAAAGGGGAATATAAATTGGAAATGTGCTTTTATATACACTGTATATACATAATATATAAGCAGTTTGGGTATATAAAGACTATAGAATTCGGAGTGTCATTAATGCTTGTCTCTGCTGTTATATAATTTTCGAATTATGTAACCAAAGGAATATACATGTATATCACATTTAAAAACAAAATTCTAGCATTTTAGGCTATATTCAATTCCCATTATCAGGGTCAAATTATATTATACTAGTAAGGAAAAAAAATTAGCTTGTTTGTTTTTTCATCTATTTTAGAAGGGGCTTTCCTGCAGCTATTTTAGTCTATTTTGGCGTATTATTAACTACTTACATTGACTGTGTTGCTGTTTCACTGAAATTATAATGCAGTTAAAAGATATACTAATATTAAGAAAGTAGGGATTACTGTCTTACGTATATTCCCTACACCTGACAAAACTTGACAAAAGGCAGAGCTACCACATGCGTGAGATTTCAGTGAAGCAGATAATGCACCAGGAGTCGAAGAGGACTGTCTGGATTATGATGCAGCGGCTGTGAAGGACAAGTTCCAATAAGTCAAACTCACCTTTCCCCGCACCCCACTGCAAAAAATGAGGCCTAAATTTGCAAAGACAACAGACAGTGACAGAGTCACTTTAGCGTATTGCAAAGATCTTAAGAATCACTTTGAATGCACATGAGATTTAAAAACCGTAGAATAAATCCTACTAAATAAAGCATGGTACTATACAGTAGATATAGAGACAGCATGGCGTTTAACCGCCTTAGTAAAAGGGGTTGGATAAACTGTATGATATCATGATAGCCCTGGAAGGCATCCGTCATGAAGGGTTTAATTTAACCAAAGGGTTAACATTTTAAAGATCGCCAAATCATAGTACTAGTATACTTTGTATCTTAAACAAAAACATCCCTATACATGTATTTCTATAATTCTTTCTATGTTAAAGCAATACCCCAGGTACCATAACCACTACATCACACTCACTTGCCGAGAGTGATTAGCACAGGAAGTGACTGGCATCCAGTGAAGCCCAGGTAAAAAGTTAGTCCATAACCAGTTTGACTAGTTACAAAGGGGGTGCCAGGGCAATCCTGGCATCCAAACCACTACAGCATACTGTAGTGGGTATGGTGCTTGGATCGTTCCTCTAAGTAAATATTTTATTACTCTGTTTAATAAATGGAATATGTAATTATTACTTTTAAAACACAAGTTAAGTACTATCACTGCCTTGCTAAACATTGTTTTTTTTAATCATTTTAAACATCCCTATTTTAAAGTGACTCGTGTTAAGTTTTATTCATATTACACCACAAAGTGAATTCTTAGGAACGCAAAGGGAATTTTAAGTGAATTTCACATCTTAGGCAAACACTTATAAACATGACTTAATTCTAGGCAATAATAATCTGAACATGCTCTCTGATAAACAGAGATGTGCGTAATACATTAGGCCTTCGTCTTATTTAATTTTGTTTTTCCTTTATTAGTGTTTGCTTGACTTTACTTGTTTGGAGAAACACAAAAAAGTACAATTAATTCTGGACATCTCTTATGCAGAGGAGTGATTTTTATCAGCACAGAATACAGTTAATAGCGCCATAACTATTACAATTTATCTAAAAGTAGCTCTGAACAATTTAACAAAAAAAAATTCACCCAGAGCCACTTTACACTAAAGTACAGCAATACGCTGTAGTAATTATGGTTCTTGGAATGAACCTTTTACATTCAGGAGAGAATTCTTCTTCTCCCCAAGTAACAAGGGAGAGACTGAACTTTACTGCATCAAAAAAAACCAAAAAACTATAATTTAATTTAATATATAAACTTTAACCAGAGTACGAAGGTATAGGAAGTAAAATGATCAAATCACGAACATTTAGTTTACAGAATTTTATACCCACACATTCTGTGCAATTTAAACAATTACAAAGACTTTTTGATACTTGACACTGTGTTTTATTCTCTTATTGGAACTGGCAGTTGTATTCTGTCATAGGGAACACAGTGACTGGGATTTAATAGAACACTATACCTTTTTGTCATTTTTGCCATATTTTATGTGAAAAAGAGAGAAAGAATTAAGAAAAAGAAGAAGTGCTCTGATACAAGACAACGCGTTTTGAATAATTTACTAATGTATGGATTCCTGGGAATTCAAAGTGAATTTGAAGTTTTAGGCCAAAGTGGCCACATAGCACGCACACGCACAGACAGACACACGTTATATACATAGAGTCTTAAACTGGCACAAACTATACGATGTCATAATAGATTTTCTAATTTTAATGTATATATTTGTCATCATTTTATTTTTTACAAAAGCACATCAGTGATGCAGCAGGTACAGTGGAGTTTAGAAGGTACACATTTCATTGTGACATCAAGTAATATATACATATATAATAGTGTTACATATCTGCCTCTTGCATTATTTTAAGCAAAAGGTTTTATTGCGTAGTTACAATTCTACAGGACATTGTGTACTTTCACTGTGTTTTACAATAAAAAGGTAAACAGCCATACTGTACACTCTTTTAATTTAATGCAGTTGATTTTCCTGTAGTTATCTAAATCATTGCCGTTAGGAATGATTGTCGTGTATGTACCAGGTGTATTTTATAATAAATACTAATATATATATATGTACACACACACACACTCTCACACACACACACACACACACACACACATACATATATATACACAAATTGGAGGGGAAAAAAATCATATAAGAGAAAAATAAATCTGTTTAATGCAAAATAAAACTAAAATGTAAAGGTTATCGATTAAACATATATTTATACAATATGTCTTCTTGTACATTTTACAGAGGTCGTTTATGGGAACTTTAATATTTTAGCGCACATTAACTGAACTTAGTTTATTGCTTCTGAAATCAAAGTGCTTAGATTATGTCTTCTTAACTATGCATTTACATGTTGGATGTTTTCCATAATATTTAAAAATACATGATTTACATTTAGCATTGGGGCAGCATTATAACTTATCTTTTTCCAAGTACGTATATTATATTGCCGAGTAAATGTGCCCGAACATCTTTTTTTAAGGAGTGGTTCAATGTGTACCATTTCCTTTAAAATGTTTCTCATTTCATATAATACAAATGTAAAATATATTTAAGTGTTCAAACACAGCCATCTTCTGTCGTCTTTTCGTCATTTATTGTCACTAATATAAAGGAAAGCTGGTGTAGAGATGTCTGTACTCAGAACCAAATAATATCACCTGGAGTGGGTTACCTACTCCAACATTGTATGGTTTGAATTGTTTTATTAAATTGCATATTATCAAAGTTTTAAAAATCTCGAAGGAGTGCAGCACTCTAGATAGAGTTTTTATTGTCAAACTCTCTCCGTTATGGGGGGGAGAGGGGTCCTTGTTGACAGTTGCAAACTGTACAACTTTAATCATTAACGCCTAGTCTGATTTTAAACAGCAATAAGTAGAAGGTAAAACCAACAATACAATCCAACAACATGTGTGTAAAAATGTCATCAATAAAACAGATATGATTTATGACATCATAAATAAAACAAACAAAAGTGATGGTTAAACATGTGTCTATAGGTATGGTATAGTATGAAAAAAGCATGTTAATCACAGCTTTCTTTTAAAAATCCAAAGCATTCATACAAATGATCACTATTTATGTAACGTGACGCATATGGTTATACTAAATGAAGACATGCGTACGTGATTTGCATATTTTATGTGCTTGATGGGTAAACGGCTATTAATGACTTGATCAATGTGTCACTAGTCTACCTTTTAGACTGAAAACTTTGAATATAGTGGGAAAAAAAAGCATATAATCTATACTTTAAATTTCCACTTTATACAGGCAGTCCAACATAACTTGCCACAAGTCTAAAATCGCCAACCTGTTTGCAAATGAATTTTGCCTCATCCGTCTCTGCGATCCTAGGAAGGGGCTCCATCATTTACAGGGAATGTATCACCTTTCTGCAACAATGCTATATAACTAGGATACCATGAAACCTACCTTACCGTGAAAATGTTTACTACTGTGGATGCTGTATATTTTTTGATACAATAAATTAGTGTCCTTTTTCTCACACACACAGGCAAGTTTACTCGACTCCTGCCACTGTGATCACAAACCTTTTTTTCGAATTGCCGGGAAGCAGACAGCGGTTTGCATACATTATACTGAATTGTGTGTCTTGGGCCTTATAACCTAATGCTGTAACTCTACACTTAACACCAGAAAAATGTTAACTTTACACGGGCAAGCATTTTTTTTCAACAAAAAACATGGCAGCAACACCACTGCCAGCAGTATCAATGTAGGCAAAGTGTTTACTTTACCTATTTATACAGAATTGCTTAATAATTATATTTTCCCTTTTTAAAGTGAGTGCGGACATGTTGGACAAACGGTTTGCTACACAGACTATTGTTTCATATGCCTTAAACATAAGGTGCCGAGGCATCACACCGCAATGCCTGACAATAATTTGAAACAGTGTACGTAATTTGCCTTTATTTGTGTAAACATACTGGCGTTGCTATTTAAAGGGACACCATTTTGTCTCTGGAGTGTATAAATATATTACACACTATGTTTCAAATGTGATGCATCATGTTTTATTTAGCATCTTTACATGTTTCTCATTCTTGATTTTGTATCCTATTTAGAGAGCTGTGTCTAGAAAGAGCAAACTGTATACAAGGCTGTTACAGGATGTATAACAGTTATGAATAAATTACAAATAAACTTGGCTCTACTTTATATCATGCGTGTTGTTTCTCATTCAATGGTCAAGGGACTAATCTCATGATCATACTAGTTTTAAGTCTTCTGCGTTACAAAAAAAGAAAATCTAAGTACAGATTCAAGATAACGCCGTGTCGCTAAGTCATATTTACCGTGAAATTGTTAAGCCGTCTTTTTTTTGAGATCACAAAACCTTTTAATGACTTTATACAATTAAAGAAGGAAGAATTTGAAATTCTATTTTTATTTTACGGATTTGACACATTAAACGAGTCAACAGTGTTCCAACAATAAAGTTTAGATACACAGCCTGTCAAGAGCCCATTTTTGTGGGTGTCAAGTTGAGGTAAATGGAGAAACAAAATCACCTCTAGATCTTTAGAAATTCTGACAAAGTAAGTGGTAATGAGGCGTATTGAATGGCAATTTTCAACTGTACAACAAAAAAGGACCAAGAGGTTGAAAGCTTTCTAAACATATATACATTTTAAAACTGCAAGATTGAAATAGTGTTTAAGAATTTTATTAGCAGTAATAAATGTACACTAAGCAGTAATAAATGTAAGGTCATGTAACTGGAGCTAGAGGGTAGGAAAAAAGGATCCCAGCCACTGTGGCTCAATAGTCAATGGGCTAGATGGAAAATAAAAAGTTATCATCAATAGTGGAGAGGTTGCTTGTCACTAATGGTGGCCATCAGGGCATTCTAGTTGGCCACATGTTTGAAGACAACAAATTACATGTTTTCGTGGTAGAGAAGGAGCTCTAAAGGGTTCGGAAATTCAACAAGTGTATAGCTTTAGCATGCTTGTGACGGAGTAAAGAGGCTATAAAGCACCCAATTGTCAGGGATCTTACCTTGATGAGGAGTCTGACTTGCAGAGTTAAAGCACCCTTTGCAATTTAACACAAACCAAGGAGACTCAAGGTAGAAATCTCCAAGGTTGTGAGATAGTGCACTGGGGCTGTAAAGGCACAGTGCTTCCAGAACGTAGCACCGGCAAGGATAATCCAAAAGAGTAGTCATGGACATAATCAAAAATCAGGACAGGCGGCAAAACAGGCAGAAACAGGCAGAGATTCAAAACTGGAGTCAGACGTACAGCATAATATTCACAAAGAAGAACAAACGTTCTGACAATGAGGCTGAGGTAAGGCAGAGTTTAAATAGGTGGATAATTGCCACTTAATCTGGAAACCAGGAACAGGTGTTCAGCGATCCAGGAGTAGAGACTCAGACAAAACAGGAAACGGGAGAAACAGAAAACAAAAAACAACAAAGACGTTACATAGTTACATAGCTGAAAAGAGACTTGCGTCCATCAAGTTCAGCCTACCTCACATTTGTTTTTTGCTGTTGATCCAAAAGAAGGCAAAAAAACCCAGTTTGAAGCACAATTTTGCAACAAGCTAGGAAAAAAATTCCTTCTTGACCCCAGAATGGCAGTCAGATTTATCCTTGGATCAAGCAGTTATTACCCTACATTGAAAGATTATATCCTTGAATATTCTGTTCTTGCAAGTATGCATCTAGTAGCCGTTTGAACATCTGTATGGACTCTGATAAAACCACTTTTCAGGCAGAGAATTCCACATCCTGATTGTTCTTACAGTAAAAAAACTTTCCTTTGCCTTAGACGAAATCTTCTTTCTTCCAGTCTAAACGCATGGCCTCGTGTCCTATGTAAAGTCCAGTTTGTGAATAGATTTCCACACAATGGTTTGTATTGGCCCCGAATATATTTGTATAATGTTATCATATCCCCTCTCAGGCGACGTTTTTCTAAACTAAATAGGTTTAAATTTGTTAACCTTTCTTCATAGCTGATATGTTCCATTCCTTTTATTAATTTTGTAGCCCGCCTCTGCACTTTTTCTAGTGCCATAATATCCTTCTTTAGAACAGGTGCCCAAAATTGCACAGCATATTCAATATGGGGTCTTACCAGTGATTTATAAAGAGGCAAAATTATATTCTTGTCCCGAGAATGAATGCCCTTTTTCATGCATGACAATACCTTACTGGCCTTGGCCACTGCTGATTGACATTGTACATTGTTGCATAGTTTGTTGTCTATAACAATTCCCAAGTCCTTTTCATGGGTTGTTATCCCTAATTCGCTTCCATTAAGGGTATACGTTGCTTGTGTATTCTTTACGCAGAAGTGCATAACTTTGCATTTTTCAACATTAAATTTCATCTGCCATTTGAGTGCCCAGTCCCCCAGTCTATCTAAATCCCTCTGCAGCAAAGTAATATCTTGCTCACATTGTATTGTTTTACAAAGTTTTGTGTCATCTGCAAACACTGAAACATGACTTTCAATGCGGTCTTCAATTTATAAACCCCTGTTAAATAGAAGGGGTTCCAGAACAGACCCCTGAGGGACACCACTTGCCACCTCTGTCCAGCTTGGAAATTTACCATTAATGACAACTCTTTGTACTTTGTTTTTAAGCCAATGTTTTACCCAAGAACAAGCATTTTCATCTAGACCGATTTCCTTGAGTTTGAACACTAATCTATTGTGTGGAACTGTATCAAATGCCTTGGCAAAATCCAAATAGATCACATCCACGGCAACACCCTGATCTATACTTCTACTTACTTCTTCGTAGAACGCAATCAAGTTAGTTTGACATGACCTGTGCTTCATAAAACCATGCTGATTTTTGCTGATAACCATGTTCTTCTCAAGGAATTCTTGAATATTATCCCTTAATAACCTTTCAAATATTTTACCAGCCACAGAAGTTAAGCTCACAGGTCTATAATTTCCAGGCAAGGATTTTGAACCCTTTTTGAATATAGGAACCATATGTGCCTTCCTCCAATCCTCCGGAACACTTCCTGAAAGAAAAGAATCTTGAAAGATTTGTGTGGTGTTAAAGATAAATTCACTGCCTGGCCTGCAAGGGACCCAGGTTCAATCCCAGCCAGTCCCAAGAACTAAAGTTCAAATGTGGCGTGATGAGGATCGTAAAAACAGATAGAGAGCTTCCAATGGTGAAATATAGTATGTCCAAATGTGATGTGTAAGGAAACCCAAAGCCGGACAGACGGACCCACCACTCAAGTGTATCCGATAGTGGGGATTAAACAACTAAGTGCCTCTTCTCCTAGAGCTGGTTCAAGCTCCAACAAATGTGAGTGAAATACTTTTCTCTTGATTTACACATCACATTTGGACGTACTATATTTCACCATTGGAAGCTCTCTATCTGTTTTTATTTCCACATATATGGACTATCTGCCACCACACGGACGGATCAACACCTGAGGACTATTATCCTACCATCACATATCAGTAAGACTGTTTTAATCTATTTTTAGACGAACTTTGTCTATTGATTATATCCTATTTATTTATTTTTTATTTTTTAGCGCAGCCCTTACCCCCCTTTTTTGTATTTTCCTGTCTCTTAAAGGGTTTCTTGAGGGATTCCCTTTTAGGGTTGCTGCTCCTTCTCTGGTTTAGCGCAGACTCTTCCCCCTCTTTGTTTTACATGTGGGGGAAGCCCACAGAATCCAAATCAGCAGTATGGGGTCTACGGAAATAGGCTACTCATTTGGAGAACTTGTGCTTCCCTCTCGACATCGTCTTCTTGAGTCTAGAAGAAAATATCCCCTATAGCTCAGGATTTCTCTGCCAATATTTGGTTTTGCTTCTTCAAATGGTGCCCCGTGATTACTGGTGGGGAACCACTGCTTAAGGAATGAAACGTCCTTGGAATAATCTACAGAAAAGCTGATATAAGCACATGAACCGCAAAGAGACAGAGAAGTCTCTTTGAATTCTCACTTTAGTGAATTATCCCAAGAGACTGTTCAGTTTATCCCTATAACGCTTGAATAATACAGGGTAGCATAGAACGCCCTGCGATTTGGTGCCCCTCCGGTGATCTATACTTACCGATTGCCATCATCCCAGTTGTGGAGACTGAGACTGCATGACAACCCCCCCACCCTGGAGCACCTCCCCGTGGGCCATGTGATCGAACCATAACAGGCAATATAGCTGTCTGCAGGGGGAATGCCTGACAGCTTTTAGTGCCTGAAAGTGAAAAATATATATATAATAGTGGGAAAATATATATTTAAGCACATTAGTATATAGTATATGTATATATTAGTATAAGATATATGTAAAATATCTTTTTTTAAATTATATATATATGTATATTTAATTTCATTCTAACTGTATTTTAAATAACTGTAATAATATGTATAAATCACAAATAAATAAAAAGAATGAAAAACATTATATATGCATTTAAATACACGTAGTCTTTAAATATATGTATATATATATATATATATATATATATATATATATATATTATTGTATATATATATTTAACTTCTACATGTATATTTATGTAATCTTTTCACATAATTATATGATTTTACTCATTACAATTTGAGGGACTTGCCTAACAACCCAGGCAGAAAGTCCAGAGAATTTAATTTGCCCTATATTTTACCCTGTAATTCTCCAAAACATCATGAAACCTGTACATGGGGAGGTGGGGTGGGGACTACCGTTTTACTCATCAGACTTCACTGAACACAAATATGAGTGTTTTAAAACAGTAAAACTTGGGGGGGCGGAGCCTGCACACTGAAGGAACCAGACGCCATTCTGGCTGGTTCCCAAAAAAAGATTCGAAATCCACTGAAAATCGCTCTACCAAAAGCCCATCCAGCCTTTTCGAGGTGATATCTGCATTGAGCAACGAACCCTGCACCACCCGATACCACTCGATGCCATTTTTCTCGGCACCAAACCAGCCCAAACGGAGGTGAAAAATCGGGGCCTACCCCGCGCTGACCATACCAAGCCTGGAAGCACTGCTGGCTAGACCCACAGAGAGGGGAACAGGCTCGGAACCTGCACCCACGACATCCCTCCCTCTCACCCACAGGCCAGCTATGGGAAGACGCTCCCAAAAGCCTACTACGGCAGCAGACACCAGGGACATTGGAGCCATGCTGCAAAGGCCTA